ATATATTCAAATAAATAAATAAATACGTAAAACAATGTTAAATAATACATAAACATAATTATAATAATGGAAAAATAGAAAATAAATAATTAAATAAGCTAACAAACAATACATACTTAATTTATAGTTTAAATAAGGTTTACTTAAATCATAAATATTGAAAATATTTAAAATATACAGCTTAGAAAGTGTTTATAAAACTAATCAGAAGCATATAGTGAAAAACTGTCAAGACTTGGACTTGAGATTGGAATCTGACTCTAGCATAGGGACTTGAGAACATGTCTGTCTTATTGTAGTATTCAGTCAAGGAGGCTTAAAAAATAACATTTCATTGCCATTGCATCAGTTGGAAATGATGTGACAAGTGAAACCGGACTTTTAAACTTCCTATTCAGTAGTTGTGGACGAGACTGCAGTTACCTGCTTAAGGGTGTAATGCTGGGCCATGACACTGCGGACCATGTCTGGCAGGGCAACTGGCACCTTAATCAGTCTATCAGAGAAGGCAGTCAGTAATTGCTGTGAGCGTTGTATCCAGTCCTGCCGGCCTGTGTGGTGGGAGAGTCGCAGCAAGTTCATGGCTGAGACAGAGTTCGCACTGGGTTCTGCACCGTCCTGATCTGTAAAAAAAAATTGTAAAAAAGGAAAAGATACAATGGTATTCTAGTCAGATAAGTCCAGCCCAGCGTATCAGCCATGTTTTCAAACACATTGACGTAAACAGTCTGGCTTCTGGAAAAAACTGCATCATAACATTTATGGTTAAAATATCAATTTAACTGGAGCACATTTATCAGTTTAAGCCGAGCTATAAGTGTCTGATATCACAAGTGAAGTGGCTCTAGAGCTGTGAGTTGATTTACTTTATCTGCTCTTTGTTTGTGTGCAAAGGGGGAGTTGGGAGTGGGTTCCCGTGCCTCGTGTCACAGTGTAATGAGCTGATTGCATCTGGGAGCTGAGAGGGATGGAAGCGATGACTGATGAATAGCAGCAATGCTGTTCCAACTAAACTCATGCAGATGATAGCAGGTAGCTTGCTCCTTAGAAGACACATGCACCACACATGGCCATTTACTGCGTGCAAGTCATGTCAGAATGATCGTATTTACAAGCTGAGCACACATGAACGGCACCACAAATCTGGATTTTCTTAAAGACAAGTTAGGAGTATATCAGTTTACGAATTCTGGTGGAAGAAAATAAGTATTGATCATAAATTGTAATTATGAACGTTGGAGGTAAAATTGGTTTGTATAGCTTGGGTGTAGAGTTTAGTAATAAAGCTTGCCAGAAAATACTAATAATTTGCCTGGTTTATGAGGAGACAGGATAGTGTGACCAAACTATTTCCCAACGTTCTCTCTCTCTCTCTCTCTCAGCAGCAAACACATATATAAAACATCAGCTGCACCTGGAATGTGCATCCTTTGTGCTTTATTTTGTTGCATTTACTTTGTAGCTTCCCGAAATACACTACAGTTAGAAAGTTTAGGGTCAATAAGATTTTTGTTTTAAAAGAAAATAAGTTTTATTCTGCAAGGATGCATTAAATTAATCAAAATGAGCATAAAGACATTTGTAATGTTACAAGATTTCTATTTCAAATAAATGCTATTCATCAAAAAATCCTGAATAAAAGTATCACAGTTTCCACAAAAATATTAAGCAACCACTAGCAACAATTAAAATTATTTCTGAAGGATCATGTGGCGGTGAAGACTGGAGTAAAGGCTGCTAATAATTCAGCTTCATATATTAAAATACAAAATATTGACTGTAATTCAATTTCACAATATTATTCGTTTTACTGTGATTAGGTCAAATAAATGCAGCCTTGATGAGCGTAAAAGACTTCATTCAAAAAATTGAAAAATCTTACCGAACCCAAACTTCTGAACAGTAATGCAGCTTCTTAAATGCCTCTTTACGACTCTTTAATGACTGTCTTTATGTGGAAGTGAAAAAGCTAAATAAATGATGACTATACTTATCATGATTTTCAAACTCATAATGTAGAACTTCCCAGGAGGACTTGAACACATGCATTGCATGTGGTCAATATGGAAAACAGGCTTTCTATGAAATACTTAAAATATTTGCACAGCAACAAAAATCTTTGAAGGACTCAAGCCCAAATAGTTTTATTTTAGAAAATCTAGTGGCTACACTGCCTGTGGTTTTTACAAAATGGCAAAGCTGACTCGTTTTTGTCTTGTCTAGTTTGGGCAAGGCGTAAAATGTAGAGTGGCAGATGCTTTGGGAGGCAATCCGTCTTCCACCGACAGAGAGAGGTGAAGGGACTCGGTTCTAAGACGTGACAGCACCGCATGACTCCTAATGGAGCCAACTCTGGCTCACTATATTATGGCCCAGTCACTCAAAAAAGATGAAAAATCTGTCTTATGTCCATTTTAATTTATCAGAAGCAACAACAAAAACATAACAGTTAGCTTTCTCAGCTCTCATCCATATCTCATTGGTGTCAGTGCCATTTTCACAGTGCCATCAGTCACGGCCCAGGCACACTGGTGCGACTATTTGCTCACATCAGCTCGTACTACCAATTCCTGCAGAGAAAATATGGAGCCAAGCCATTCGGGACATTAAGCCCCGGCACTTATATAGTTCGAAAGTATGTGTGCGGACAAAAAAAGAATGAAAAATCACTCTCTCATTCCACTTCCATAGCAATGTCACGCAGAAGGTGATGAATGGTGCACAGCATGAAATAAAAGGGATGTGGTGTTACTTCAAGGAAATATCAATTGCTTTAACAAAACAGTCTTTGATGTACTGGATCAGCCTTCTATATTGGTCAAATTCTACCCAGAAACACGGAGAGGGTGGAGGAGGAGATATTGGAATTCATCAGAAGATGGACTGGAAAAGAAATGGTGTGAAAAAAGGCAGTGTGTTTGGGTGAGATAGAAAAGAGAGAAGGACATTACAGCATAATAAAAGACAGCGATGAGGTTACGTAAGGAGAGAATGGGGGGGGTATGTCTGGCTGAAACCGTCACACATGATGTCACATTTCTGCTCCTCACCCTGTTTGAGAGCTAACAGCAGCGTCGGATTACCCAGGCGAGGGTACATAGGAGCGCAGTGTGGCGGTGCTATCAGTGGAGTGATGCAGAATGTAGACTGACAGCTACAGATCTTCATCATCCTTCCCGTGACTCATAGCCACCCACACATTCCCAAAGCAAAAAGCCTAGATCCATAGGCTTTCCACACCCTTAATACAGGGTACCGTCACACATGATGTCACATTTCTGCTCCTCACCCTGTTTGAGAGCTAACAGCAGCGTCGGATCTGAGGGGTCGCTGCAGAAGTAGCCGCTGCCCTGGGAATCCCAGAAGAGCTGATCCTGCCTCAGCTGGAGTCCTTCGGCCCACTGCAGCCAGCGGACCCTTTGCGTGGCCTCAAACAGGTCCAGCAGCCCACACACCACAAAGGCGTAGTCATCCAGGAAGCCTGCGAAGGGAGATGCACTGGAGAGAACATTAGTTAGTCATCCAGGAAGCCTGCAATGGGAGATGCACTGGAGAGAACATTATAGAGAACATTAGTAGAGAAAGTCAAGATCTTCTGTTCTTCCACAAATACAAATTCAATTTCTTGATAATGTTGGGTTGACCTGTGTAATAATGTCAGGTTAACCTATGCTGGGTCGATCGACATAACATAAGCTCTGTTGACTGCAACTGTGGGATTCTGCCAATTTCCCGCAGAAATAGTTTAAACTCCAAAAGAATGGAAAACGCATTTACAGTGATACACGTATCAGTGGAAGCCTTGCAAACAAGAAATGAAGAGGGTTCACAGCAGGAATTCAAAACTCATAAACTCTATGGATACCTTGTATTCACTGTAAGCTACTTCCTGTGAATGTGCGAGACTTCCGATTCATTAGCCGCTGCTGGTAAATAACTACAAGAATAACGTGCAGAAAACAGTTTAACCAGAGTTATTTTAGTATCATTATGAAACTATTATATTTTGAATTAGTTTTGATTTTTATGTTTTCCATTTTCATTTTTAATTAATGTTAAAGTAATTTTGATCTGTTTTTGTCATTTGTATGATTTTTTTTTTAATGTCTACACAGTCTTTATCAATTTTATTTCGGTTTCAGTTTGAGCTATTTTATCAAGTTAAAATAAATTTAATTGAGAAATGTTGTCTTGGCAACTAGCAGAAATTAAAAAAAAGTTTATGTTTATGTAACATTTATCAGTAACATTTATTTTATTTTAAGTAGCAATGTTTTTAAGGTTTTAGTTATCTATAACAACCCTACTCTAACATTTATGACTGTACACTAGGTAAAAAGTTTGCTTTTACTTTTTTTTTTTTTTTTTAGTATTTTAAAAAAAATATTTTTTTTTGCTTTTACTTTTTTTTTTTTTTTTAGTATTTTACAAAAAATATTTTGTATTTTACAAGCAATTCTACTGTATCATACCATGTGAATTGCTTAAATCACAAGAATGTTTTAAATGTTATGGTTATGTTTTTGAAATGTGACTGTGTGTGTCATATACATATAGATAAATTAATGAAGTGTGTAATTTCTGTGCAACTAGTGACATATGGAATTGCAGAAATAAGTTTCAAATACTTCCCCATCTTCCACTGGACGACAAACAGTCCCACTCCAAATTCACAGCACTACTTGAGCCAATGAACAAAAAGAAGTCTTGCTGAGAGAAGTCTGTCATTTCTCTGGAAGGTTAAGTTATGATATTTTAATTCAAAATTACATATATATCGCTCACAATAAGATCAATAAGATGCATAGAGAGGGTGAATTTTCATTTCATACCAATTTAATCAATTGCGGAACAAGCAGGGATTATTGACGCATGCCACATATGCAATCTATAGAGATGCCTTTGACCTGAAATGCTATATTACTACAACACAGAATCAGGATGCACATTGAAATTAAAAAGCAAAAAGATTAATCTCAATGAGCTTCAGTGATATTTCAATCATGACATTCTATGGCCGGATGTAAGCTTCATTTAAATAGGCCTTTAAGAACTAAAGTAGTTTTTTTATGAAGTTCTCCTAAACTTACTTGTCTAATAAAATAAGACAGTGGAGGCAGAACAGTCTCTGTTTACTGAAAGTGAAACTTTCGCCCCACTGAAGCACCGTGTGAACGCATAACAGCCCCAATGAGAAAAATACACATCACACACACTCACAGGGTAAAGTTACTGCATGAATTACATCCTATTTCAGTCTATTACAATTGCTCATGTCCATGGTACTTCTTTTCTTATTTCAGAGGGCTTCATGTTGATTTGCTGCCAGAATTGGCTGTTGCAATCCATGACATGAAATCGGAGGGAAATGTCAGAGGCAGTCGCTTTGTCTGTCACTCCACTTCTGTTATTAAAAGGAAAGTTAAAGGGGGGGGGGGGTGAAGGA